GCTTATTCCACTGAGCCATCTCCCCAGCCCCAAAAGAGTCGGGGCAGGGGCTCGAACCAGCAACCTTGCGCTATAGAGCCTGGCGCAGAAACCCCTGTGCTAGGTCCCCGCCTTGCTTTGATTTTTCAAATGACATTTTTCAACACAAAAATATATTTTTTCAAACGCAGTATTTTTCACATGTAAACTTTTATGTTTATATATAAAGCCAAATTATATATATATAAAATACCTTATTATTGATTGCAGGTAGCAAGTGTATAGCAGATCTTTGGAGATTATTCATCTATTCTTCATTAAAAATTTAACATAATTTCCCAGTTCACCATGCCAGCTTATGATAGCATTTATTGATAAGCGGGCCTTCTCCTTCTTTGTTTATATAAAACTTACCTCTCCAAAAATCTCCCGTATTAATTTGACCTTTTCTATGTAGTAATTACTGTGTCAGACATTTTCTAATTATTATTTTGCCTCTGTTAGTAAACTGAAGAACTTTTTATGTTTTGTAATATTTTAACATGTTCTTAATAACTTTATTTTCTAGATAACCAAAAGCGTCCACCAAATAACATTATTAGTGAGGAAGACTTATTCTATATTCTAAGTTAGTATTTGCTTCTGTAATGAAGACTGATTGATCGGATGGAAAATGAATAAGATTAATGGCACGTTCATTAGTATTTGTGTCACTTTATTTATAGATTTGAAATATACTCGAAATTAATTTGGGTGGAAAATAATGCAGGGCTAAATCCAGGGTGCAGCGTACACTGTTAGGTGCTGTGTGTATACCGTAACTATAAACCATGCTAAGGGCAATCAAAACTTGTTTGTCTATCTGTTAATTTACAGGTATTTGAAATTGCTGATATAGTTGATCAGATGTCACCGTGGGGCATGCTGCGAATCCCACGCCCATTAATTATGATCAGGGCATTCCGGATTTATTTCCGATTTGAACTGCCAAGGACCAGAATTACAAATATTTTAAAGTAAGCACTGCCATGGTTTAAGTTAATGGGGAAGATTTGTAGCATTTGTTGCTGGTTTTACTCATTCTGTCTACTTTTCTATCCTAGGCGATCAGGAGAACAAATATGGAGTGTTTCAATATTCCTGATTTTCTTTCTGCTTCTTTATGGAATTTTAGGAGTTCAGATGTTCGGAACATTCACTTACCACTGTGTAGTGAATGACACAAAGCCAGGGTAAGTTCACCTTGTAGCTGCATTTTAAGTTAGATGATTAACAATGTTGTGCCTGCAATAATTGTGAGAAAAAGCTTCGGTGTCAAAGTGTTCGATAATAGCACTCATGGAATCTGTGTTCTGTGTTCTCTGATTCCTTAGTATTGTTTTGTCCAATTTTTAAGCCTAGTGTTCATGACAAACCAGACTGAAAAATATAACCCAGTGGAGAACAGATTCAGTGCGTGCGTACTGTACATTTAGCAGCCTTCTCCAGTTTGGCCAAATGGGTAGTTGTGCCTGCAGCCAGGACAAAGTTTTTTATGGTATCATAATGGGTCACATGTTAGAGGGAAAAAAAAAATCTCTAAGTTATGTAATTGTAACTCTGGTCATTCTCCCTAAATAGTTATTTCTGTAGTGTCATTTCAACATAAAACTACCATTTGGAGTATTTTCGGGTTGTAGGGTTGGTGAGTAAGATGCTATCTTTCTCTGTATGTTTATTTATCATGTGTACTTTGATGACCAATTAGACCTTGGTCAGGTGAGACCCCGCCTCTCCTGTTCAGCTGATCATTACTAATGCACAGTGCAGGGGTGGAGCAATGGGGAAAGGGGCTTGTTGGTCCCTGGTCGCATGTGACCAGGGAGTGTCTCTTAGGTGTGACAGGAGACCAGAGTCTTACGTGTCCCATGTAACTCAGAAGTGTGAGAGACCTGTAGTGAAACTAATTTTCACCTTTCATTCAGATCTTTGGGTAGAACTTTATCATTCAATAAGTAACTAATTTATAGACTACAGAAAGAAAAGTAGTCTCAATTTAGATCATAGAAAGTAAATTTACCATTTTTATTAAATTCAAAAGGAGAGTGCAAGCAGCACTCATCTATTTTTGCTGTGTTAATATCCATTTACAGTTGAATTGTGTCTATAAAGGTGAATGAGTTTTAAAGCTATAGAAGCTGTTACTTTGTGTTTTCATCACTGAAGGGTGATTTTCACATTGTGTGTGTACTTGTACACGTGAAAGCGGATAAACCACACAGAAGTGGGTATTCTTGAAGACACACATCAGGGTTGACTTGGATGAGCTCCAAGTGTAAGCTGGTATAAGTGAGTGATTTCATTCCTCTGTGAAATGCTATTATAATACACCACCGTCCTGGAGTCAGAAGAAAGGTCAAATGAGGGAATAAGCAGGGTTAAGAAAGGTGACAGGCATAAAGTGACGACACTCTATATATGCCAGATTTCATTAGTTTGTTTTCATATTATATATATATATCTGCTGAGATTACGATTATCCATTCTAAGAGTATCTCCAAATAAGTAACAATGTAGTAAAACAAAAGATAAAAAAGGGCATGTTTAGAGCTTATAAGAATGGAGAAAAAACATGTATGAATAATAAGTGAAATATTATTTTACTAATAAAATAAGTAAATTGTTTCAAATTTATGATGACCACTGAATTACTAGTTTTTCTCAAAAATATGTTAAAAATTGTGGTTCTAATTTATGCAAATAGAGATGTACATTGTAGGACTTGTAATAATGATCTAATATGTTTATTATTTGACCCCCAAATACAA